GGAGAAGTAGAGTGGGGTGTCCAGGCGGAAGTAGGACTCCATGACGCGCCGCACCTTCTCAGTCACATTGTAGTACAAGTGGGCGCTTTGAAGAGGAACTTTCCCTTCCTGTCCCAGCTACAACAAGAGACTGGTAGTCAACTGCCCCGAACACCTCTCTGGGTTGACAGGGGCACCGTGGCAGTAGGCCATATGCTGCCAGCTCCCACTACTTTGCTGCTAGTGGCTCTCCTCTCTGCCATCCCTACATTACCCTTCCCCTTCCCCTTCACACTCCTTGTTCTGAGTAACCACACATAGGCTCTCTGGACTCAGTTGTTCTTCAGAAAGCATGCCAGCAGCTCTGGGGATCAGCTCTGTCCTGCTTACCTCACTTTATTACATTCTATCTAACAATCAGGATTCAGAAGTTCACCTCATTCAGCATAACTTACCCGCACTCCCTTGTAGCTGGAATGTTAGCAATAAAGTGCATTTTCCCTTTTCTACCACTGTCCCCAGCTCCTCCCTAAAGCTTGAGCTTCCCCTTCCTGCTGTTCCCCTCTGCTCCATACTCCACAATGCCCAGGATCCATTTTACCTTGAGGGCTTTGAAGACGGTGACACCATAGAACTTCTCATTGGGGGTGTGTGGGGAGGTCTGACCTCGGTAGCCATCTCCTGAAGTTGCTGCTGCCTACAAGGCACAAAGATAACCGTAAGCCGCAGGAGCTGAGCTCCTGAGAAGAAAGTAGGCTACACCTAACAGGTACTTGGAAAGCAGAGATGTCAGACAGACCCTGGGGAGAAGATGCAGTGGTCCCTTACATTGGTTAGTCTCTGCAGCTCTTGACACTCATTTTCGGAGATCAAACCATCCATCACAACCCGCTGGGAGCCATTCAAGACTTTGGAGTTCATGGTCAGACTGATGCCTTCATATAGCAGGGGGCCTCCTGAAAAGCAATGGCAGGGCTGGTTAAATCTGGTAGCAGCTGCCTATTCACCTGGTAAACAAAGAAATCTCTCAGTCACTTCCAAATGCAGAGTGATTCAAAGGACAGAGCTTGGAGTTGAAAGATGAGACTCAAGTCTTTGTCCTAGCTCCGCCACCAAAAAGGGCTAGCTCCTGAACCTTAACAAACTGAGCACATATACATTCTCAAAATATATGCTCCAGAAATCAGGAAGAACTGAATTTGATCCCTGGCTTCTCCACCTATTAACTGTGTGACCTGAGCAAGTTGTTTAACCACTCAGGTTAATTTTTAATTAGTTAACTAGTATGTTTTATGTTTTTTAAACAGCATCTACCTTAGAAGTTTGATGTTAAGAATAAATAAGTTAAGAGCTTAGATTAGTATTTGGCTTGTAGCTAGTTAATGCTCAAAAATGGCTGCATGGTATCTCTAATCATTATCACCATTTATATAAAACAAGGATCTTACCATCTGCCCAATCCACCTTGAAGTAGTTGTAAGAGACAGAAGTTGTGAGTAAAAGGCCCATAAAAGCAAAGGAATGCTAAACACATTCCTTTCTGATGCTGATCCAGCTAAATTTGCCACTGTCAATTTAAGTGATGGTAGGGCAAAGGCCAACCTTTCTCCCTAAGATGCTAGTGTAACTCTCTGTGCTGACATCATACATTCAACCCCATCAACATGCCAAGGCCAAAGGAAAGGGGCTAACGCTCCCCACACAGTCATGTAACATCCAACAAAAGGCAGACTGCAAAGCCCCTTGATGATCAAGGAAGATCAAAGGGAAGCTTTTAACAGTGTATCTAAAGTACTTTCAAGGGAAGAGATAATGGGAAGTTTATTAAGAAGAGGAGCAAGCAGGAAGAAAGATGTGTGCACCAAGGGCAGGCTCAGGGAATGAGTAGCAGCCCTGCTCTCCTTGATACAGAGAAAGGATGGAACACACAGGTGAAAGCAGGCTTGGGAAGATGGGCCTCGATCAGAGTGGAGCTATCACACTAGGCCTTCCCTAGTCTGGAGGCTTGGACGAGGGAGTCAAAGGAGTCGAAGACATCAGAGTTTTGAGTCCTGGTATCAAGAGAGTGGTAGAGGTCAGGAGCACAGGATTTGGAGTGCAGAGGGTTTGGAAGGACGAGTTTTGTGTCAGCTGTAACTCACTGAAATGAACACACTAGTCTGTGACCCAGGAGTCTTACTTCTTAGCCAAAGGCCCATTCTCAGGGTTCTCTTGAAACAAAAGTTCTGTTGGTGAGTTTGGGAGGATGCTGAGGCAAAGGTAATTCTACATACTTGTCATGCACAGCTAGGGTGACTGGTAAACTGATAAATGTGGAGAGATTTGCCTGGCTGGGTTCACAACACCACATGTGCCCGAGCTCCATCCTCTCACCTTCCCGGGTCAGTCTGCTAACATCCAATGACTCCTTGGTCTTCTCTTCCACAAGGGTCTCGATCTCCCTCATAAGGTTGCCGATCTCCTGGGAGATGCGGACAGCAGTTTCCCGTTCCGATCTGTGAGCACATACAGCTCTGAGGACAGTGCTGAAGCCAACCCTGACTCCCACCCCAACTGCCCCGTCTGCATCTGCCCACCCCTTCCCAGGAGTTCCCATCTGCCTGGGCGCAGGAAGCCTCAAGTGCTTCATCACTGATCCAATCATGCAGTTTCTTCAAGGCCCTCACTTCTGTTTTTCTTGCAGTCTCTTGGGAATGACCTCTTCTGGAGTCCATGAATCCTGAAGTGTGTCAGGATAACAAGCAGGATGACTTCATTAACCTCCCAGGACTTAATGCATGAAATGAGGCCTCTAGGAGAAAGCTGCCTCCCTCTCTGCCTCCCCTTAGGTGCTAGGGTGGGAGCTCTCTAAACCTCAAGGTTGCATTAGATTCAGGACCAGGGCCCCTCTCCATCTGCCTCTCATTTTGAGGTCCACATATCCCATGTTCAGCCAATGGTCTTCTCCTCAGAGTTGCACAGGCCACCACTCCCCACTGTTGAGAGCTCTTCCTCTTTTTCCCCTCCCCTCCAGGTCCCACCCTGACTCACTGGATCCACAAAGGGAATTCCAAAAACATCATAAGCGAAGAAAAGTAGTTCCTTCTCCAGCAGGCTGCGCTGTATGTACTCCTGGGCACTCTGAGGAAACAATGGGGAGGAATCCTCTAGAACTCAGTGTTAGTCAGCCCTGGGTGGTCCTCCCGGATACTCTACACTGTCTTGGTTAACCAGGGTCTCCTCTCCTCACCAGCATGGGATATCTGCTCCCCACTTTGGGTCACAAGTATCAAAGCCTTTTCCTGACTGGCACAAGCCTTCTGAGGGTGACATACCAAGTTTCCCATGAAGGGAAATGGCCCCTTGATTGAGCTTCCATTCATTGTACAACAGAAGATATTATAACCCTCAGGAGATGTGCAATGTGCCTCGTGGGAAGAGTCCTTGGCTTCCATGGAGTCTCATTCAGGCAGGGAGCTAGGCGCTAGGCCTTTCCTGTGGCACTTATGTAATCTCAGTCAGCTCTCGGCTGGCACTGTGATCTTCATGTTACAGAGCAGAGGGATGTGTACCTTGTTTAAAGTGACACCACAGGAGATACAGGAGCAGAGATCTCATTCAAACTCAGGTCTCTTGAGTCCTCAGGTCTATGTGCTTCCTATTCTACCACCCCTCAGGCTGAGCAGACTCTAACCTTCCCAGAGGATGGATGGCTACACAATGGCCAGGCCTGGCACTCTGCCCTCCCATGTGTACTCAGGAGGTAAGGCTTACCCTGGCAGGGAAACTGAGTCCTTTCTGGGTCACATTTTTCCCTAGGTGCCCTGCTATGTTCCAAGCAGCATAAGGAAGGAAGAGAAAAAGGCATTGTCAAGTGAAATCAAAGATGAGACAGTTCAAGAAGTTGGTGAGTCCTGTAGACTACTGTGATTACCCAAGAGGAAGATGGAAGGTTTTTCCCCTAAGGAGTTTAACTTATTGGCATCCTCCAAACCTCTCCATCAGTCTACTGAAGCCAACCCCACTGTTGTTCACTTATTCACTAACAATGAGTTTCTGTCAGCTATCTATCAGCAACTGTGCTAGCATTGGGAAAAGAGCCACCACTAACCAACCACAGGCCATTGCACAAACTGCTTCCTCTATACATCCTCACCTGTTACAGTGGGCAGGAGAGTGCCTACCTCACAGGGCAGCTATGCAGATTAAACAGGAAGACAGCTGAGACCACCTAGCATAGGGCTTCACCTGGTCAGGGGCTCAACCTTCTCTCTAGAAAGAGTTCTGATTAAACATAGTGGATTGACCACATGGGTTATTTTCTATCCCTTTCCTAGACTCACTAATACCACTATTAAAGAAACTTGGGGCTAGGAAAGGTGCCTCAGTGGTAAAGTGCTTGGCCTTGCATGCAGATGAGGCCCTGGGTTCGATTCCTCAGCACCACATAAGCAAAAAAAGAAAAGAAAAAAAAAGAAAAGAAAGAAAGAAAGAAAGAAAGGAACTTAGCTAGGTGCTGGTGGCACATGCCCATAAGTCCTGGCTACTCAAGAGGTCAAGATCTGAGGATTATGGTTCAAAACCAGCCCAGGCAGGAAAATCTGTGAGACTCTTATCTCCAATTAACCACCAAAAAACTGGAAGTGGAGCTATGGCTCAAAATGGCAAAGTGCTAGCCTTGAGCAAAAGCAGCTAAGGGATAGCACTCAGGCCCTGAATTCAAGTCCTACAACCACAAAAAAAAAAAAGCAATAACCAAGCAAGACAATGAAATGGGAAAGGGCTGGGAAAGTAGCTCAGTGGTAGAGTGCTTGCCTTGCATGCATGAGGCCCTGGGTTCGATTCCTCAGCACCACATAAGCAGAAAAAAGCTGGAAGTGGCGCTGTGGCTCAAGTGGTAGAGCACTAGCCTTGAGCTAAAGAGCTGAGGGATAGTGCCCAGGCCCAGAGTTCGGGCCCCACGACTGGCAAAAAAAAAAAAAAAAAAGAAATGGGTAAAAACAAAAAACAAAACAAAACAAAACAAAAAACCTTCTTAAAATCAGATGATCACCATCTAGTGGCCAAACAGGACAACTATGAAGAAGCTGGTTTCTACACAGGAGAACTGGAAGAGGATTATTGCTACTGGACATTTGGGATTCTATAGTGGTAAAGGAGGAAGCCTGGTTTTCCTCACAGAGTAACAGTCTTTGTACTACATAGATATTCTCTTTGTTTTACAGTGAGATGGAGAAGGCACAACGGGGAAGAACGAGAGAAAAAATAGGTGACCGAGATGAAGGCAGCAGCGATGATGCCAAATGGCATGGTGGCCAAGGGGGACAGCAGTCTGCTCTCCAGCTTTTCTTTCTGTGCCGGCTCAGTGATGCATGTCTGTGCCCAGAGGTTGCTGTGAGGCTCAGCATGTTCCCCAAGTTCGCTGTATTCTTTCCTCCTGGGAGACAAGCTGAGCCTAGACATGTACCTCACCCTACACTGGCAGCAACTCTTCTGCCCTCTGGTTGTCATACACCTGACAGCTATTCCACACAGAAACAAGGCTCTCACCTCACGGGGACTGATGGAGTTGGCCTGTTCTTCTCCAAGTGTAGCTGCATAGTAGGCCAGATTCTGGTTCATTACTTCGTCATTAGGGAAGAAGAGGAGGTAGGTCTTGGCACATTCAATAGCTTGTGTATAATTATCAACTGCAAAGCAAGGAAAGAGGTTGAAAAGAAAGAATCTAATCCAGGAGACTTAGGAACTACTCAGTGTGTGGTCTCAATAAGACTTTGAGCCATCAGCAACAGGTCAAGTGGCTTTTGCTACATAACTGATATCCTGGTTCAGGGAAGGAAGTTTAGAATACACACAGAATACATAACTGAGTTGAAAATGTTCTATGTCCTCAAGGCTGAGTACTATTGAAAGAAAAAAGACATGGAACTTTCTGCATGCCTTCACCTTTAAAAATTCACAACTTGGATTGGGAATGTGGCTTAATGGTAGAGTGCTTGCCTAGCATGCATGAAGCCCTGGGTTCAATTCCTCAGTATCACATAAAAAGAAAAAGCCAGAAGTGGCGCTATGGCTCAAGTGGTAGAGTGCTAGCCTTGAGCAAAAAAAGCTCAGGGACATGCCTAGGCCCTGAATTCAAGTCCAGTACTGGCAAAATAAAATAAACTATGACAGAAAGAATGAGAAGGAAGCCAGGTACTGGTGGCTCAGGCCTGTAATACCAGCTACTTAGGAGGCTGAGATCTGAGGATCACAGTTCAAAGCCAGCCAGGGCAGGAAAGTCTGTGAGACTGTTATCTCCAATTAACCACAAGAAAACTGGAAGTGGCACTGTGGCTCAAATGGTAGAGCACTAGCCTTGAGCTGAAGTGCTGAGGGACAGTGCCCAGGCCCAGAGCTCAAGCCTTACAACCGACAAAAAAAGAAGAATGAGAAGGAGAGGAAAAGGAAGAGGAAGAGAGAGAGAGAAGGAGATGGAGGGAGGGAGAAAAGGGGGAAGAGAAAGAGAGAAGGAGAGAGGGAGGGAAAGAGTAAGAGTGAGAAACAAAGATGGAGAGACCAAGAGAGAACTCCTAGAATCCCCTGTTCCATTTTCTGGTTGCTGGACTGACTTCCTGGGCCACAGGTTTGTAACAAAATACCCAGAGATCACATAGTATCTCCCACAGCATCAGAAGAAACCAGACTTGTTGAAGACAATAGCTGTAGGCCTGGCCTAGCTTCATAGTTATGATAATGAAGAAAGGAGGGAAGAAAAAAAAAAGAAGACCTTACTGTTATAATAGGCAAACTGCAGATAATTATAATGTGAAGGGAGGAAGTCTTCAAAAGGCTTTTCTCGGCTTGGGTGGGAAGCCAGCTCCGTGACACAGTTCTGCTTACAGCTGAGGACTTGGACATAATGATCTGAAAGGAACCAATCACAGGAATAACTAGGAGGTTAAGTTTCAGGATGCAAATTCTGGTTAAGATGGACAAATCCCAATAGAATCCTACTTTGGTCAGACTCCCAGACGTAAGAAGTTTAGGAATGAGGCTGCAGATGCTGTATCCATGTTATCAAGACACCGAACCTCACAGCCCTGTTGAAGCAGCACGCACCTGTTATGGCCTGGAAGAGGTCAGCATTGTAGTCTAGGTAGTTGTAGCCATCGTAGTCATAGGGCCCCTCGCAGAGAGCACGGCATTCCTCATCTGCCACAAAGTACTCTTGCAGAGCTGCCTCCAGGTGGGGCACAGCCTCCTGTGGCTGCTCCTCTGAGTACAACCGCACTCCCAGCCGAAACTCGTGCTACTGGGAGAAAGGAGTACTCAAAAGCAGGTCCCAGAGGAAGCCCTCTGCCTTGCCCTTGGCCACCATCACCTGGGTCTTAATTCCAGCTTTTCAGTTATGGATGGAAAGGGATAAGTAACCTGGGTGGCTTGGCTGCTTCAAAATGAAGGTCTTTTGTAAATTTACAGACACTTAACTCGATGTAGGAGAAAGAGGTAAGATTATTATAATTCTTACAGTTTTTTCTGTTTAGCTTAAAGTTTTCAAATTAACACACTTTGTGTGTGTGTGTGTGTGTGTGTGTGTGTGCTGATTCTGGGGTTTGAATTCAGGGCCTGGTGCTGTCCCTGAGTTTTTTTCCTTAAGGATAGCACTCTACCATTTGAACCACAGCTCCACTTAAGTTTTTGGGTGGTTAATTGGAGATAAGAATCTCAGGGACTTTCCTGCCTGGGCTGGCTTTTAATTCTGATCCTCAGATCTCAGCCTCCTGAGTAGCTGAGATTATAGGCAGCACCTGGAGAGGGAAAGGAAGAGGGAGAGGGAGAAAGTCAGATAGGGCATAGTGTAAGCTCAGTAGCGCTGGGGAGGCTAAGGTCAGAGGATCATGAGTTCAAGGCTAGTGTGGGCTACATAGTCCTGTTCCTCCAAAGAACAATAATAAAGAGAGACACAGAGAGAAGCAGGGGGTGGGAGATAAAAAGAGATAAAGTCTTCTTCACCATATGAGGTTTGGCCTCAAGGTCCTTGAAATCGGCCTCCTTCACTCCAGACATAGTTTGGTAGTAGTCTAGGTTTTGCCGCATCTCCATGTGCTCAGGATTGCCCACAAAGAAGGTGTGTGCTGCTGCTACAGCTTTCTCCAGCTTATTTATCTAGGGTGAAACACAAAGATATAACTCTCACATCTAAACTGCTCTCAGCCTCCCAAGCAGCCAGAAGGAGTGACTCATCAGTGTCCAGCTTTGTCTTGTTAGCTCTAGACTGGTCTGGAACTCACAATCCTCCTGTTTCAGTGTCTCAAATGTGGGATTACAAGTCTTCACCACCACATCTAACTATTATATCCCATCTCAAAGTTTACAGTGCAGTCTATAGTTAACAGTAAATCCCAACCTCCCTGAGCCTTTTTTGAACTTATACTCACCCAATGTGCCCAACCTCTGCCAGCCCTAGAAAATGCACCTATTGCTTATTACAGGGGACACATACTGGAGTACTGAGAGCAAAGAGATCTGGGCAGATTGACAGCTGTTCCCCAAATCAGGTTTAGGGCTTTCCAAAGTCCGTAAGTTTCAATGGTTTAAATGGTATAAATGTTCTACTTTAAAATGAAGAGCACACTGTAGGAGGAGTGCTATGAATAAGAGTTGTAAGATTCAAATGTATGTAGTAATTGAGCTAAAACACACACACACACACACACACACACACACACACACACACACACAAAACTTCTAAGGCTTCAAAGATAGGAATAGGGCAAAAAGAACAGTTAACGATTAAACTGTGCATAAGAATCCTCCTTGAATTTTTTGAATATGTACTATGCATATGTTATACTTGTACAACTATTAAGTTATATGTCTAACCTATAGCTTAAAGATTAATCTGTATCTTAAACACAGAAGAAAGCTTATCAAGAATTCTGCCAAATGCTGGGCACCGGTGGCTCATGCCTGTAATCCTAGCTACTCAGGAGGCTGAGATCTGAGGATCGCGGTTCAAAGCCAACCCGGGCAGGAGAGACCATGAGAATCCTATCTCCAATAAACCACCAGAAAACCGGAAGTGGTGCTGTGGCTCAAGTGGTAGAGCGCTGGCCTTGAGCTGAAGAGCTGAGGGACAAGCGCCTAGGCCCAGAGTTCAAGCCCCACGACCGACAAAAAAACCCAAAACAAAACAAAAAAAAAAGGAATTCTGCCAAAGAAATTCTAATAATGTCTCTATTCAATTATGTTCAAACTTTGTTTCTTTACATAGTCATAAGATCATTTATCTTCAAACCACTATATTTTGTTCTCAGTTATTATATTACTCTTAAAGACAACACCAAACATGAAATAAATAACTCATACACTAACATCAGGCATGTAATACAATATGCCTTAATTATTTTACATAATATGATTTTCCCCCAAACCATAGATGTTGCTAAAAGGAGAAAAAAATCTTTAAAATTCCTTATCATATATCTTTGTTTTTCAGTGCTTGATAGGAAATGTACTCATTACCTTATTCATGTTATGGTCACCCCTCTGTACAGTATCTTTACAATAAAAAATATAAAAAAAGAAAACTTGTGCTATAGGCTGCAATGCGGCCCACAGCAATGGAATCCAGCATATAAAAATAGCATAGTTCAGCTGGGCGCCGGTGGCTCACGCCTGTAATCCTAGCTATTCAGGAGGCTGAGATCTGAGAATCGCGGTTCAAAGCCAGCTGGGGCAAGAAAGACCGTGAGACTCCTATCTCCAATAAACCACTAGAAAACCGGAAGTGGCGCTGTAGCTCAAGTGGTAGAGCGCTCGCCTTGAGCTGAAGAGCTGAGGGACAGCGCCCAGGCCCAGAGTTCAAGCCCCATGACCAACAACAACAACAAAAAAAATCGCATAGTTCATATTTGGAACCCAAAATAAATAAATGAGTATCTACTTGCCCTTGGTATCAGACAGACTAGGAACAAATCTAGGGTTTAATGACTCACTTGCTGGGCTTTATACAAGTTACTTTGCACTCCAAATTCAGTTCCCTAATCTGTCATCTGTAGAGCACTCCAGATGAAGCTGGAGATGGTAAGTACACAGTTTCAAATGCATGGTATCTTGGCTTGATCACCAGTACTAGAAAGCACATATTAAAGAAGTTAGGCCTCAACAGATGACTCCATGTAATAATGACAAATCTCTGTATCTCAGTTTTTTTGGGTTTGTCAGTCGTGGGACTTTCGGGACCTGGGCTGTCTCTGAGCTTTTTGACTCAAGGCTAGTGCTCTACCACTTTGAGCCACAGTTCCACCTCAATTTTCTGGTGTTAATTGGAGACAGGAATCTTATGGACTTTCCGGCCCAGACTAGCTTTGAATTGCAAATCCTCAGGATTTGTTCTAGGCATGAGCCACTGGCAAGTGGCTGATTTTACTCTCTTCTTTCAGCATGGTGCAGCCCTTCTGGGTTCTTTCTTAATCTGTTCTCCTCCCTCAGACTTTCTTTACATTTAAGACACTGGCAGGTGACTTCCTCCACTGGATTCTGGGAGATAAAGGATCTCCTAATTCTTCTGTTTACGTTGCCACCACTTTTTCCTTTCAAGACTGATTTTCTGTGACTTCCAAAATTAGTATTCTAAAATCCATCTTTGATGATAGCTATCTGCAAAATTCTCCTCTGAATCTGCCTGGCCTCACTTAACTTTCTTTTTTTCCAGTTTTTTAAAATTGTTATTATAAAGGCTGCTGCCACTCCCCACACTCATTCAGACATCAGTCACAGGAGAACTTTTTCTGAATACAGCAAGCTTGGGTCCCACTTCTCCCTCTTTATGGAAGGGCCATCCATCCTCTTTCTAGCGATACTGAGGACAGGCTCAGTTTCATTTCTTCTAATTTTTCTGAGACAAAGCTAGATTTCTCTCTCCTTGGTGCTCTCATAGCCTATCTGCATATTCCTTCTACAGAGACTCTTAGCAACAAAGTAAGTCAAAATAAAGAAATAACCAAACATTTTCATCACCTGTCCAATAACTGACTTCAATAACTGTCAAAACATTTTGAGTAGTACATTTAAGTGATATATCCCAATTATTTTGGACTTGTAAGCCCAGTATTCTTCCCAGTAACTTAGGAGGACTGGAAGGGAACTAATTGCACAGCAGATGCCCATGTAGATATGAAAATCGGAGGTCCCTAACAGTCTTGTAAGTGTCTTTAGATCTGTTAAACCATGGATATAGTAGATACACAGTACAGCTCCTTTTCCCCCCTCCTCAATAAAATGGGACTAATAGCATCTACCTCGCAAGGACAGCGTGAGGATCAGGGCAAACGAGTTAATACACGCAAAAGGCTTAATACGGTGCCAAGGAAATGCATGCTGCCAATCGTGACCATTTGTATGCCCGGGCTTAGGACACTGTGGCATCCTTAGAAAACCCTTATTTTCTTTGGAAACTGACAGACTAGTGAGAGGGTCCCCCGCTACAGGAAGGAGCCAGGCAGCCCCTGCTGGCGACGTGGCAATCCCACGTCCTGAAAGAGCGCTGCTGGATTCGGCAGCAGGAAAAGCATCATCGGAGAGCCAACCGGAAGGGAGACACTGTACGAAGCTTCTGGCTTCTCATGTGGACAGTTGAAAATGGGAGACCCAAACTGCCGTTTCCATTCCCCCTAGAAGCTCAAACCCCAGGCTGGACCCTTGGGCTTAGTATCCGTCGAGGAGCACGGAATCGGACAGGACGGCTCTGCCGCGGGCAGGCCCCAGCCCTCTCCAGGTCCGCGGAGAGCCCCCGGGCCAGGCCTCCCAACCCGACCCTAGAGCCCCCCCCCCCGAGTTCCCCAGGTGTCTGCGGTCACTCTAGTCCCTGAAGGAGCCCGAGTCCCAGGCAAGTCCGCACCTTGAAGTAGGCGACCTGCAGATAGTTGTAGGGGCTCCGCTTGTGGAACTCCAGCTCCAGCTCCTCGCTGAGCGAGTGGGCGGCCGGCGGCCCCAGGCAGCGACGCAGGCAGGCGGCGCGGCGAAGCAGGGCCCCGAAGAAGCCCAGGTCTTGCAGGGCAGCGGCGCCCGCTGCCTGCGCTAGGCTCGGGGATGAGCCGGGGTCGGGCTCCCACGGCAGGTCGGCTGCACACCGGGTGCGGCAGCGCAGGCGCAGGGCGCGCAGGGAGGCCCGCGAGCGCAGCGCCCGCTCCATGTTCAGGACCACCCCAGCCCAGTCTCCGCGCGCGTAGGCCGCGGTCCCATCAGCGTAGAGCAAGTCAGGAGCCGCCATGTCCAATCCCGCCTCAGACTCCACCTCGGCCCGGGAGACGGCGGCGGCGACCGCCAGCATCACGGCTAAAAACCTCCACACGCGAGCTGCCATCGCCTTAGCGGACCTAACGGGGCGCCGGGACACTCGCCACAGAGGTCCTAGCCCCACCCCCACCGGAGCTCCGCCCCCGAACGAAGCCCCGCCTCTCAAGCCATTCACCGCCGGCTTGAGGCTAGTGCACGCCTCTTTTGCTTTTAACCAATTAGAACCACGATCTTCAGTTAGAGCCCCGCCTTCGAGCTCAGGCCGTATCCAATGGCTAGGGAATACAGAAGCTCCGCCCAGAGTCGTTGTGCGTTCTTTTCCGGCTGGCTCGGTTGGGGGTAGTGGTGGGGTGTTTGAGCGGGCTGTCATGGAGGCCTCGGCGGCTCGGGGGAGGGCAGAGGGAGGTTCGGCGAGTCCCGATGTGCCGGAGGCGGCAGGTCAGGCAGGTACGCGGGGAGAGGGTCTTTGGGGAGCAAGAAGGCCCCAGGGGAGGCCGAGGGCGGGAGCTTACGCCTATGTTCCTGTGTGTCCCAGGAACGCTGGTGGAGCGCTCCGGGACGCCCGGCGGCCTGGCCCTGGTGAGCCCCTACCACACCCACCGGGCCGGGGACCCCTTAGACCTCGTGGCGCTCGCCGAGCAGGTGCAGAAGGTGAGGAGCTCGGTGCGTCTGGGAAGTGAAGGACAGCCATCTTCGTTCGCAGTCTGCCCTGCGTCTTTCGGCTGGGGTCTCACGGCCACTTCGAAGCGGTGTTCCTTTATTTTATGCTGCTTCCTATCAGATCTTTACCGGTGACCTAAAGACTGGTAGGAGTGCAAGGACTCCGAATTCTGTTCCGCGTCCTCATTCCCCTAGAGACAATATATTCCTAAACCCAGAGGAAAGGCAAAATATTGGTTAAAACACTGGAAGTTTGACATGTCTTTTTGAGTGTGTATGTGTGCCGGTACTGGGCTTGAGCTCTTACTCTCCCTTATTAGCCCTTTTGCTTAAAGTTGACACTTCCAGCTTTTTGGTGGTTAATTGGACACAACAGTCTCAAGGATTTGTCTGCCCCTTCTGTTTCCCAGGCTCCTGCGTAGCTAGGATTACAGGGGTGAGCTACCACGGACTGGCTTGGAAACAAGTGTGTGTGTGTGTGTGTGTGTGATTGGTGCTTGAACTCAGGGCCTGAGGCCTGTTCCTGAGCTTTTTTCACTCAAGGCTAGCACTCTACCACTTGAGCCACAGCACTACTTCTGGCTTTTTCTATGTATGTAGTATTGAGGAATTGAATCCAGGGCTTTATGCATGCTAGGCTAGCACTCTTCCACTAAGCCACGTTCGCAGCCTTGGAAACAAGTCTTAATCCTCCTTTTAATATTAGCCTTAAGCAAATGACTTCTCTCTTTTTTTTTTTTTTGCCAGTCATGGGGCCTGAACTCTGGGCCTGAGTGCTGTTCCTCAGCTCTTCAGCTCAAGGCTAGTGCTCTACCACTTGAGCCACAGCACCACTTCTGGCTTTTTCTGCTCATGTGGTGCCGAGGAATCGAACCCAGGGCCTCATGCATGCAAGGCAAGCACTCTACCACTGAGCCACCTTCCCAGTCCCATCTCTTTTATTATTTTTGAGAGTCCCAGGGTTTGAACTCCAGGGCCTATACTTAATAAGCTGCTACCTTACCGTTGAGCTTCACTTCTAGCCCTGGACTGCAGCTTCTTTATACACCCTCAGAGAAAAACCAAATTCAGTGAGAAGCTAAATTCTTTCTTATTACTTGTCAAGATTTCCAGTTGTGGAGCGCCTTAAGTATGCACAGATTTAAGGCCTGGCTGCTTAAACCTTAGAAAAAGTCAAATAAGAAAGGTTTCGCTTGTTTGTTTGTTTTTGTTTTTTGCCAAATTAAAACCTTGTCTCTCCTCTTTTTTAGAGAGGTGGTAGCAAAGTACAACTTTTATGGATTAGGAGAATATCATGTGTCTGTTTAATCAGATCACTTATTGGAAGGATTGCTGCCAGGAACAAAATTTTGGACAAGCAACCTTTTTATGTGTTACTGAATGACCATCATGTTCATCACACTGGCCTGAATAAAGGAAGGAAAAACACAGTTTTTGTCTTTCATACTATAATATGGTAAAATATAAAGGATACATTTTGTGCCACCTCACATTCTTCAATATAATCAGTCTCTGAGAGCATGAAGAAAAAACACTCTGACAAACAAATTGAATCAAACATATTTACTGTCTGTATACTTAACTTCTTAGCAGGAATAACCTCCGTTATTTCACTTAATGTGTGTTCACAAAGCTTGGGAAGTTTGATATTAAGGTGTGAATTTTGAAATCTGACTGATCTAGGTTCAAATCATCTGTTAGTGTGAGCTGTGAGCTACATAGTTTTACTGACTGAATTGGAATACCTGTAGGATACACATACATTGCTCTGAGTCTTTTTTTTTCTTTTGGGTCCGGTCGTGGGGCCTGAACTCTGGGCCTGAGCGCTGTCCCTCAGCTCTTCAGCTCAAGGCTAGTGCGCCTTGAGCCATAGCACCACTTCTGGCTCTTTTTTTCCCCTGCTTATGTGGTGCTGAGGAATTGAACCCAGGGCCTCATGCATGCAAGGCAAGCGCTCTACTACTGAGCCACCTTCCCAGCCCCTGCTGAGTCTTAATTCCTGAAATGAGGAGGTGTAGTTATCATCTCTAACTTCATAAAGGTGTTCTAGGTATTTGGGTTAGGATTTAGTAATTCATTATAGGAGTGCTTCATTTCTGCTTTAATTAGATTATTTGTTTACACCAAACTAATACCTTAAGAAAAGGTAGTATTGTAAGAATACTCCTAATCCAGACCTGCCTTAGCTTTAGAAACTACCTGCTTTGTCATTGGCTATATGGCCCATCTGTCCTAGGAACTAAATGTAGGTTTGGTGGTTTTTGTTTTTTTTTTTAAATCAGGAGTTACGAGGCCCTGCACTATCCCCTCTTTCTTCTGCCCAGGGTGGCCTTAAACTCTGGACACACAATCCTCCTACCTCCTGAGTAGTGAGGACTACAGGTGTGCACCACTGCATCAGGCTCCTTAAAAAAAATAATAAAAAAAACAACCAAAAACCAAAACCCTTATTTTGTAATTTCCTCTCACACTTCTCCAACTGTGTGAGCCTCAGAAATGTCTGAAGCTTTTTTTGCACCATTTCTGGTTTTTTTTTTCTGCTTATGTGGTACTGAGGAATTGAACCCAGGGCCTCATGCATGCAAGGCTAGCACTCTACCCCCTGAGCCACCTTCCCAGCCCCTGAAGCTTTTTTTTTTTTTTAATTTTATTGTCAAGGTGATGTATAGAGGGGTTAAAGTTACATAAGGTAGTAAGTACATTTCTTGTTGAACCTGTTACCCCCTCCCTCATTTTTCTCCCACTTTCCCTCCCCCTCACAATTTGTACAGATCATTTCCAACATACTGTCTTGTGTATTGCTATTGCATTGGTTCACCCTTTGTCCTTTGTCTCACCATTTTGTTGTTCCCCTTCCCTTCCCTGATTCAGATATATATCTATCTGAAGCTTTTATCCTACTTGTTTTGTGATCCTTCCCTGCTTTTAGACACAAGTCAAATGTCACATTATTGTTGGCCTTCCTGTCTAAAGAAAACCATACCTTACCCCATCCAAAGATAGTATTACTAGCTGAAGATGAATACATTTGAGCCACACATACATTTCAGTTCTTACATTCTTCATCACTCCTTATTAAGCTACTTATTTTATTCAGATGTTAGTCTTTGATCTGTGTCTGTCCATAATTGTAGTACATCATAGTGCCTTTAGTTATCTTTATTTTTGCTGTTGATATACATCATCTAAGCTGTTCTAAAAAATATGGTGGCCATCAGTTACATATGGCTGCTGGACACCTGGATTGTGTGATCAGTGTGATTAAGGCACTGAATTTTTATTTTATTTCTGCTGGTACTGGGTCAAAACTCAGAACTCAGGTCTCGCTCTGCTTTTTCAACTGCAACTGGTGCTCTACCACATGAACCGCACCTTCACTTCCAGCCTTTTGTTGGCTAATTAGAGATAAGAATCTCAAGATTTTGTTTGTCTGGACTGGCTTTGAACCACAGTCTTCAGATCTCAGCCTCCTGAGTAGCTACTACTCAGTGCCCTACTTGAATTTTAACTTTAAATATTTTGAGTTTTAAAACTTGATAATTGGGCTGGGAGTGTGGCTCTGTGGCAGAGTGCTTGCCTAGGATGCGTGAAGCCCTGGGTTCGATTCCTCAGTACAACATAGACAGTAAAAGTGGAAGTGGCACTGAAGTGGTAGAGTTGTAGCCTTGAGCAAAAGAAGCTCAGGGGCAGTACCTAGGCCCTGAGTTCAAGCCCCAGGACTAGACATAATAATAAAATAATAAAAATAAATAAAAATAAAACTTGACAATTGATTCATTATTGGAATTTAAGTATATTTGGGGTGGTTTGAGTATGTGGATTTGTTTTGTGTGTGTTCAAGCCCTAGGGCTTGAACTCAGGACCTAGGTGCTATCCCTGAGCTTTAATGCTCTACCCATTTGTGCCATAGCTTCACTTCCAGCTTTATTTGGAGGTTAATTGGAGATAAGAGTCTCCTGGCTGACCTAGCTTCGAACCACCAGATCCCAGTTTCCTGAGTAACAGTGATAGCAGGTATGAGTCACCTGTGCCAGGCATGGGTTGACTTTTTTAACTTTTTTTTTGTCAGTCATAGGCCCTGAACTCTGGACCTGAGCATTGTCCCTCAGCTTTTCAGCTCAAGGCTAGTGCTCTACCACTCAAGCCACAGTGTCACTTTGGCTTTTTCTGCTTATGTGGTGCTGAGGAATCGAACTCAGGGCCTCATGCATGCAAGGCAAGCACTCTACCTAGGCCACATTCCCAGCCCACAGCTTTTATTTTTACTCAATACACTGATTTATTCATTATCAATTCATTAGAATATTTTGTGCCAGTCCTGGGACCTGAACTCAGGGCCTGGGTGCTTCTCTTGAGCTTGTTTGCTCAAGGGTAGTGCTCTACCCTTTGAGCCACAGCTCCATTTCTGGCTTTTTGGTGGTTAATTGGAGATGATATTATCAGGGACTTTTCTGCCTGGGCTAGCTTTGAATTGTAACTTTCACATCTCAGCCACTTGAATAGTTAGGATTATAGGCATGAGCCACCAATGCTCATAACAATTTTAAAAATGATGATTACATGTTGAAATATTTTTTTGCTATATTGGATTAAAATAAATATAAAGTTAGTTTTACCTATTTTTGCTTTTAATGTGGTTACTAGAAAATTTAAACATATGACTTGCTCCACATTTCTGTTGGGTAGTTGCACTAGACTATAGTAGTGCAGACAACTCAGGTAGAGACCTCTCTGCTAATGTGTGGAGTGCCTAGTGTGTCTGTCATAGGAATTGCTGGAATTTGTGAAAATGATTGATATCATTTACATATATAATTTGTCTTTATTTATAATATTGGCATATATCTGACTTTATTTTAAGATTCTTCAACTAACCAGCAAATTCTTGCAGTATTTTTAACTTCCTAATTTACTTCTGATTTCTTTTTCTTAATCTAATTGTATGCCACTAGAAATTTAGGTAGATATAATATAATAATCTAACTGAGGTAACAGTCATATTAACAGATACATATCAAATTCTTCATTAGCAAATGATAAGAGCTATATCACAAATGTCTTTTGATATGTATGGTAATACCCTTTCCTGATTTCAGAAATATTTAAACATGAGAAAGGAAATGAGAAACCAAGGAAATATATTAGATGGAGGGAGAGTATAGATATTCATTATATTTAGGATTAAGAGAGTGGGACATGTTGGAAGGCCAAAGAAGTTCAGTACTATTAGAGTTCAGGTAAAAAGCAATGGAAACAGACTAGAAGGAGCACTTTATTCTGTGGTGTGGGATGATGACAGGGTAGGCATTTCCTAAGCAGTGTTATTTGAGCTAGGCCTTTGGGTGGGTGGGAATTTCCATAGAAACAGTGAAAATAGGAGTTGTACTTTAGTCACACTGGACTCTAAATGAGAGCATCATAGAAGTATCAATAGTTTGGTTTTCTCTCACCTACAGGCTGATGAGTTCATCCGAGCAAATGCTACCAACAAGCTGACAGTCATAGCTGAACAAATCCAACATTTGCAGGAACAAGCCAGGAAGGTAAGAGAGACCTTTTCAGAGAGGCTTTCATCTTCTTCATTTAGTTCACATGATTGGCTGAACTGGCTTGCAATAACTGTAACTTATTCCTCCTAGCCATGTAGAGTATTCTAGTAAAATAGGAGTGAGCCTAAGAGGTTTTGTGTTAACTATGATAAAATACCTGAGGCAGGCTAACTTTATAAAAAGGTTTAGTTAGCTGACAGTTTTGGAGGTTTCAGAGAAAAATTGCTGGCATGGCTCTGCTTAGAGAGAACCCTCCTAACTGCATCTAGTCTCAGCAGGAACATATGTGTGAGGAGAGAGCATTTCTCTAAACAAGGAGCCAGAGATTCAGGGGTCAGGTTCAGGCTCTTATAACAGCACATGTTTGCTCATGCTTTCATTCTTGATCTCTCAAGAACTCTTTGCTTTAGGCTGGGCATGGTAGTATGTATCTGTAATCCCAGCACTTAAGAGTGTGGAGGCCAGAAAATCACAAGTTTGAAGCCAGTCAGAGCTTCAAAAAGACAAACAAAAAACCCAAATCAAATGAATAAAAAAGGAACTTCTTTCAGGAAACTAGTATTGCCTTCTTTTGTGTGTGCGTGTATATGGGTGTGCACATGTGTGCGCACGTCCAAGCACCAGTATTAGGGCTAGAACTTAGGGCTTCTCACTCTCACTTAGGCTGGTGCCTTGTCACTTGAGCCATACCTTCACATCTTGGCTTTTTGCTTATTAATTGGAGATAAGAATCACAGGGATTTATCTGCCCAGGCTGCCTTTAAACTTTGATTCTCAGATCTAATTCTGTTGAGTGGCTAGGGTCACAGGCATGAGCCACTAGTGCTCAGCTCAGTAATGCTTTCTGAGAACAGCATCTTAGAAGGAACCTGTGGGGTCTCCTGTTGGGGCTCTCCCACATCAGGTCCTTTTCTTTGTTGGAAGGCTCTATTATTACCTCAGTCTCATTGCTTACTATTGCTCTGTTTGACTGGTTTATATCCTCTTGGTTCAACTTTGATCTCTGTGTATAAGTACCTGTTATTTCCAATCCTTTACTTAGTATACTTCTGTTAATCTCAGGTACTGGAAGAAGCTCGCAGAGATGCTGACTTGCACCACGTAGCTTGCAATATGGTGAAAAAACCTGGCAACATTTATTACCTTTATAAACGAGAGAGTGGTCAACAATATTTTTCCATTATTTCTCCAGAGGTAAGAACATTTATTCTTTACCTCCAAATCAACTCCATCCTATGAGAAATTTTTAGTATGTGTGTGTGAAAATGTAGGCACGTGGATTGGTAAATGATTTTTTTAGACTATTAAGGCGGGTGTGGTGGTACCTACCTGTAATCCCAGCACTTGGGAGGCTAGATGGGAGGTTTGCCAGGTCAACGCTTACCTGGGCTACATGGTGAGTTCAAGTCCATTATGGGCTATATATGTAGCAGGACCTTTTCTCAAAAAACAAAATGAAAAAAATAAACAAACTGGGCTGGGAATGTTGCTTAGTGGTAGAGTGCTTGCCTTGCATGCATGAGGCCCTGGGTTCAATTCCTCAGCACCCACATAAGCAGAAACAGCCAGAAGTAGCACTGTGGCTGAAGTGGTAGAGCACTAGCCTTGAGCTGAAGAGCTGAGGGACAGTGCCCAGGCCCAGAGTTCAGTCCCCACAACCAAAAATAAATAAACAAAAAAACTATTACATTAAATTAAAAAAAGAGTCCAGGCATCACTAAAAGATGTACATGTAGGGCTGGGAAAGTTGGCTCAGTGGTAGAGCGCTTGCCTTGCATGCCTGAGGCCCTGGGTTCGATTCCTCAGCACCACATAAGCAAAAAGAAAAAACCTGGAAGTGGCGCTGTGACTCAAGTGGTAGAGCACTAGCCTTGAGCTGAAAAGCTGAGGGATAGCACCCAGGCCCAGAGTTCAGGCCCCATGACCGGACCCCCAAAAAAAAAAAAGTACATGTCTGTGACCAGGGGAGGATCGGATGGATAACATAACTGCTTTCTAAAGATAGTTCCAACTAATCTGAAGCAAAAAGCCCCAAAAGAAATCAGTAGTTTAAGTAGGAAGAGAATCCAGTTTGCTTACTTTCTGCCCTCCTTTGCTTCTTTAGGAGTGGGGAACAAGCTGTCCACATGAGTTCCTTGGTGCCTACAAGCTGCAGCATGATTTGTCTTGGACCCCATATGAGGACATTGAGAAGCAAGACGCTAAAATCAGCATAATGGACAAGCTGCTAAGCCAGCCAGTAGCCCTGCCCCCAAACACTGAGCCCACCTTCCAGGGACTAACTCACTGAATGTGGACTCTGATCAGCATCTCTCATGATGGGGTCCTGTCACTTCCTTGTTGCCCCATTCTCTGCTTTGATGATAGAAGTCATGAGAACCAAGGACATATAGGTAAATCAGCTCCATCTTGGATAGAATATAAACGTTGTTAGTGTTGCTCTCAGATGGCATGGTAAGGAATTGCAACACTCTTTCTGGGGATCTGCTTGGGGCCACAGATACTTAGCCAGTCCATTTCAGAGGATTGGCTAATGTACTTTCTTTATTCATCTCCAGCGGTTCTTCCCTTAAGCCAAAGTATTAGAGAAGGAAGAGTCTTCATTTCAGTCAGGTTGGTGGGTCATTTTCCAGAGGAGCCGGTTTTCAGTCTTTTATTTCAGACTGAGGTTGAGCTATCTCACAGCTGATGTAATGCCAGCTTCAGATTCACCCAAGAATCACAACATTATATGTATGAGGATGATTAAAACCACAACAACCAACCAAATAAAACCTCAGCGTGGCTGGATCAAAGTGAGTGAAGTTTCTGGGCTATTGGCAAGGGCTGGCTTATCTTTCTGCCTTTCTACCTAGGAAGAAAAGTGGTCAGAGAATCCGAGGCAGTGGTAAAGGGCACATTTAGGTGCAGGTGGAGTAGAGCAGTCATCCTTAAGCTTCATAGAGTTTCAGACTTGGAAGAGATATAGAAGGCCACCACTGAACTACTGCATAATCCACTGTGTAGCTTCCCTGAGGCAGACAGGTTGAGTTCATCCATAGATGGCAGGACAAATCCAGTAATAATATAGCAGCTTTAAGGAGTTGTGAAAGAGAGAGAGAAGAAAAAGAAAAAGAGACATCCTCTTTTCTCAGATTATGAGGCAACCCAGATTGAAACTCCTAATTCATAAACTGAATGAGCTTTTTGGCTAGATTACTCTTTTTTCCTGACGGGCTCTTGTAGGACTTTATTTGTTTATTCAACCTAACTAGCTAAATTTATGGTATGTTCAGCATGGATGTACTTGAATTCACAATGCTCAAGTTTCTTTCTGAAGATGAATATTCCTTGTGTTCATCTACTTGTTTTTTTTGTTTTTTTTGGGTCCGGTCGTGGAGCCTGAACTCTGGGCCTGGGCGCTGTCCCTCAGCTCTTCAGCTCAAGGCTAGAGCTCTACCATTTGAGTCACAGCACCACTTCTGGTTTTTTTCTTTTTGCTTATGTGGTGCTGAGGAATCGAACCCAGGGCCTCGTACATGCAAGGCAAGCACTGTACCACTGAGCCACCTTCCCAGCCCCTTGATCTACTTGTTTAATACTCTATCCTGTTCACAATCTTTCCTTATAAGCTCTATTCCTTGTGAGCTACAAACAGTCCAAGACCAGCACAAAAAATATAGTAAGGTCTACTTGGTCACTCAATTTTGTGGGATATTTTATGGAAAGGAACTGTAAAAGGCTCTTTCTGGGGTGCTGCAGGGCCAGAGGGAAGAGATGTGAATGGCACAGCAGTTGATTCTGACTGTAGAAAGTCCCCCAGGTCTTTACAATGTTCTGATTTGTATATAATGACACATTTTAAGCAGATGTTTTATTTAAAAAAAACACCAACAAAAAAACAACAAATGACCACAGATTCAGTGGTTTAAAACAACAAACGTGTATTAGATCATAGTTTATAGGCCACATGTTCAGCATAATTTTCCTGGGTCTTCTGCTTCAGGATTTCTCCCTGGAAAACCCTGTAAAGGCTACTATCAAGTAAGCTCAGGCTGGGCTCTGAAAGCCTTACCATCTGCTTCTGAGCTTACTTGTGTTGTTGGCAGAATTTCAGTTCTTCACTAGTTCATGGTGATTGCCCTCACTTTCTTATCACATGAACTTCTACAGCATGGCATCTTTCTTCATCCAGTTGGAAAGAGTCTGCTAGCAGGATGGAGGTTGCAAGCTTAGGTATGAATCTTTACATAAGCCCACACTCTAGGGAAGAAATTACACAGGACACCAGTATGAGGAGGCAGGGGTCATTGCATTGTTTAACGCCTTTTTCTGTCTGCTGCAGTGCTCAGTTAAGAGAGAAATAGAGAACTTATTTGTGCATAAAAGAGGCAGCATTATGAAATGGCTAAGTGTGATGATGTTGAAGGAACATCAAGGATCTAGACTTGACTCTCACTCTGACAAGGTAAAGTCCCAGCTAGCATTCCTGCTTTTTCCTCAGGTCAGCTTCTCCAGTTCATTGGGCTTACAGTCGTTAGATTGATCTTTTGAAAATGTAAATCATTCTTACTTTTTTTTTCCCAGTCATGGGGCTTGAACACAAGGCTGGGGCTATCCTGACCTCTTTTGCTCAAGGCTAGCAATCTCTACTTCCAGTTTTCTGTGGTTAATGGGAGATAAGAGTTTCACAGATTTTCCTGCCTGGGCTGGCTTTGAACTGCGGTCCTCAGATCTCAGTCTCCTGAGTAGCTAGGATTACCGGTGTGAGCCACCAGTGCCTGGTCACCCTCACTTCTGACATTTCCAAACACTGATTCAGAAGAAAACGTCTGCTCAATAAGATGTATTCCCTGCACTGACCACTAGGTAGTGCCATTTCGCTTTCCTGGTTAAGGCAATTACCAGGTTTAGCAAAGACTACTGGTAACTAGGTTCCAAAGGGAACTACTGGTCGCTCATGTAATCTAGCTACTCGGAGGCTGAGATCTGAGGATTGCGGTTCGAAGCCAGCCCAGGCAAATCCCCTAGACTTTGCAATCAACCAGTAAAAAGTCGGAAGTGGAGGTGTGGCTCATGAGGTGGAGTCCAGCTATGGGAAAAAAAAAAAAAGCCCAGCACAAGTCCCTGAGTTCAAGCCCCAGCACTGGCTGCTAGCAACAACAAAAAAGATGATTGTATGCCTAAGCAGGAAAACCACCATGGAGCTGGTTTTCGAGGAGACACTTAATGTGGACCCCATCATCCCTTATATAGGTTTGTCCTCTCCGAATCACTCTCCCCGACCCTCGACCTTCGCCAGGCGTTCTGCATCAGCGAATTTGCACCAAGAGCCGCTCAGACTCGTCAAGATGGAGAGAGCCCGCTGTTCTCCCCTACCCTAGACCCCTTCCTGCACCCAACCCGCCACCTTATCTTTGTGTAACTGTCCTCAGCCCCTCCCCTGTCCTCGGGATTGTGAGCTAAGCGGCAGGGGTAAGAGGCTGGTCTCAGGGAGTGCCTCCACCTGGGCTGGCCCTCCTCCACCGCACAGGCAGCCCCACCCCCACCTAGGAATGTCTGGTCCCCAGGTAAGCATCCACTGAGGCCAAAGTTCCAAGAAGGGGAAGCCCAGCCAGCCCACATATCTCCCTCCATCTCCTGGATGGTCCCAAGGGCAAGCTGGACCCTGGGCAGACCTCCAGATAGCTGGAGGGCTGGGGGTCTGACCTCTGGCCCCCAGGGAAGGGATAGGGATGGTCGCGGAAGGAGTGAAGGGGAAGTGAACTTGGTGAGAGCGGCGCCCCTGCTGGAAAGCCCACCACGCCCTCATTTTAGCACCCCTGCTTCTTTTTCCTGGAAACCCCAGTCATGCTCAACTCACCTGCCTTCACGGTGCCCCGCCACTTCCTCTCACGCTCACCACACGTTTCTTCTCATCCTCCATTCCCTGCCCTTATCTGACTCCCATCCCAAAGGCTTCGCCGTCTGCCCTGCCCATGGGCGGTAGCTGTAATTTCCAGTCCCCTAGCCACTAGCCCCAGCGGTTCCCTCCCTGTCAGCTTCACTTGCAGTCAGATAGCCGGTGGGACTGGGGCCCATTCTCCTCCCTGTGTTTTCCCCGCTGAAGTTCCCTGGGTGCAGCCAGGGTGCTGGTTCATGCCCTTGCCCAACATAGCCTTTGTTCCTTCACAGGGCTGTAGACTCCAGACTCTAGCATTTTTTTTGGGGGGGGGATGTAGGGCGGGGTGGAAGGGGCATGTTTTTTAGAGAGTCAGGATTTCACTATGTATCTTAGGCTGGTCTTGGATTTACAATCCTCCTGCCTCAGCCTCCGGAGTGCTAGAATTGCAACTGTGCCCCATAATAATGCTTGGCTGGACTAGCGTCTTAAGGGTGCCTCATAGGTCTTCCCTCCTCCCTCCCACCCCCGAAAAACACAAGGCCTGGCCTGTGCCAGGTATTGGAAAAAACAAAAGAAGAAAAGAAAGGGAATTTTTTTTGGCAGTACCGGGTTTTGAACTCAGAACCTAATATTTGAAAGACAGGCAGCCTACCACTTAAGCCATGCTCCTAGTCTGAGAAAAGAGATTAAATAAATAAATAAAAGATCCTAATGACTGAACAGCTGCTGGCTGTATGGAAGGGAATGGCTGACAGTTCATCTGAGAAGGCTTCGAAAAGCACACTGAACAGGGTTAAGAGTCCAGATTCTTAGATTATAATGCAGTAAGAGGATATGGGGAGACTAGAGAGGCATATTATATGAATCATGTCAAATTCTTTCTATTGTCAGGCCTCATGCTGGACCCAGAAGACTACTGTCTGCACTCATGTTGCACTTCCAAAATCAGAGAAGGAAAACATGGTAGTCAATGCCAATCCAAAGTGCAAAGGGTCTCAGGTGAGCATAAGAATATGACCTCACAGAGGAGGGGCACCTACAGGCCTCATAGGGTGTCAGGGTTCCCAAAGAGGACCACTGCCCAGCCCAAGAGCCTAGGGAGGTTCCCAGAAAAAGTAAAGGAGGATTCTATCCTGTGGTCATTCAAAAAGCTAGAGTGTGATATCTACCTTCTGAAGGCCAGGGCTGTGTAGGCTTCTCTGCTCCCTGAGTGGCCTAGTTCTAGCTTTTCTTGTGTGTGTGTGTGTGTGTGTGTGTGTGTGTGTGTGTGCACACGTACGTGTGTACATGTATGCATGAGCACATGCTGGTCCTGAGGCTTGAACGCAGGGCCTGTGTACTAGTCCTTAGCTTTTCACTCAAGGCTGGCACTCTTCCACTTGAACAACAGCTCTGTTTCCAGTGGTTAATTGGAGATAAGAGTCTCATGGAGTTTCCTACCCTTGGTGTCTCTGAACTCTGAACTGTGATGCTCAAATCTCAGCCCCTGAGTGGCTAGGATTACAGATATGAGCCATTGGTGCCTGGCATTCATGTCCTCTCTTCTGTGTGGGGTTGAATCCTCATGTCTGATTGAGAGATAAGACGAGAGTCAAATCATTTATCTCAAGCAACCATGCACCAAATCTTGAACAAATATTTGCTGTCTAAACAGATTATTCCTTATTTTTGTAGATATGTATGACTTTTATTCTCAATCCCACATCCTCTCACTTCTGGGACCCATGCATTATGCTGAAATAGCATTTAATTCAGAAAGAGGAGATCTAATTCCAGTGCTGGCCCCACCATATACTGGGATAACTGAATTAGCCATCCTGAAACCTCATTTTTCCATTTTTCCTATCTGTAAGATGGGACACCACTGTGAGTAGAGTCTGTATATAAGTCTCATTTCTCTGGATAACCTCTTAAGTTCTTTTTTTTCAGGCATGAGGCTTGAACTCTAGGCCCGGGCATCGTCCCTGAGCTCTTCAGCTCAAGGCAAGTGCTCTACTACTTGAGCCACAACACCACTTCCAGTTTTCTGGTGGTTAATTGGAGATAAGAATCTCACAGACTTTCCTTGCCTGGGCTGGCTTTGAACCACGATCCTCAGATCTCAACCTCTTGAGTAGCTAGGATTACAGGCAAGAGCTACTGGTGCCCAGCTCCTCTTAGAGTTGTTCAAGGCAGAGACCCAGGTTGTTCTACTCTGTAGCTCAGGCCATTGCAATGTTCAGTAGTGTTGTTCAGGAGATGATAGAGCACTGAGGAAAGAAAACTTAAGGCATTAACTTTTGAGTCTTATCCTGCCACTTCCAGGTTGACTTTGAGCTAGGTCATCTCCTCTGGGTCTTCTTTGCCTTACCTAGAAAGTGGAGATAACCTTTTGCCTGACAGAGCAATGGCATCCTAATCATCCTAAGATGATTAATCTACTTAATCATTAATTAATTAAAAATAAACAGCTGGGGTCAGGTGGGGTGGCCCAGGCTTATAATCCCAGCAGTTTGGGAGGTGAAATAAGAAGGGTTGTGGTCTGGAGCCAGATCTGGGCAAAAGTGTGATATCCTATCTGAAAAATAAACTAAAACAAGAATAGCTGTGGTGTGGCTTACATGGTAGAACCATTGCCTAGCAAGCATGAGGCCCTGGGTTCAAAACCTAGTGTCACTGAAAATGAAATAAAATAAAACAGCTGTGATATAGTACAGATGAAGGTTAGTCTTGAAAACCAGGGGAAATGGTTGTAGTATGGTCATAGAGATGCCCTAGAGAGGCATCTATTCCTTTTCTCCCGCCCCTCACAGCTTTCTCCAGGTATAGGTTCCTGAATTAGCATTTGGAGGGCCCTGGCATAAGAAGGTCTTAATTCTTTTTTCTTTCTTTCTTCCTTCCTTCCTTCCTTTCTTTTCTTTTCTTTTTCTGGGCTTGAACTCAGGGCCTAAGCTTCTTTTGCTCAAGGCTAGCACTCTACCACTTGAGCCACAGTGCTATTTCCAGCTTTTTCTGGCTAGTTTGAACCATGACTCTCAGATCTCAGCCTCTTGAGTAGCTAGAATTACAGGCATGAGCCACCAGCACTGGCAGAAGTTCTTAATTCTGATGGCTCTGGCCACACAGCTCTTGATTCCTTTGGTGAATAAGGCTGCCTGTGAGAGTTGTAAACCCTGAAGTACTGCCTGGAGGAACTTCAATTGCAAACCTGTGTGGTCTCTCCCTGCTTCTGGCATTTTGGTGGTAAAGTTTATGGAAAAGAATGTGAGTCGGGCACTGGTGGGTCATGCCTGTAATCCTAGATAGTCAGGAGGCTGAGATCTGAGGATCACAGTCAGCCCAGGCAGAAAAGTCTGTGAGACTCTTATCTCCAATAAACCATCAGAAAACCAGAAGTGGCACTGTGGCTCAAGTGGTAGAGTGCTAGCCATGAGCTGAATTGCTGAGGGACAGCGCCCAGGCCCAGAGTTCAAGCCCCACGACTGACCAAAATAAAAGAATGTGATTTGTCTCAATTCTTGCTCAGACCAGAGGGACTGGCTGGAGACAGAGCCTCAGACTCCAATCAGGTGAGGATTAAACGAGTGAGCACACATAAGAACACTCTGGTACTTCAGTACTTCACTGAAACCCAGGTTGGTGTTTTTACCCTAACCAGTGGGGCTTATTTGTCAGAGAAGTCCAGGTCTCTGTTTTACGAACAGTTTATGTGTAAGGAGTACATATGTTTGGTCTTAGAGCAAAATCAGAGCCAAGATATGAACAGATGGGCAGGGTGGGCTGCTTCCCACCAGGAGCCAGTGACCTGGAAAACATCTACTCCTACCCAGGGAGGCTGGTGCCACACTGTCCTGGCCCCCATACATCCTCCCACCATAATCTCTGCCCCCAGCAGAAGCAGCACCAAACTTAGCATTAAGCAAGTATGATTTGGTTCTACTTACTCAATGTGTGACTTTGGGAAAATATCTCCATTTCTCTGTACCAGCTTCTGAAGTGGCCTAGACCAGAAGTGAGAGTATAGTGGGAGGTGCAGGGTGAACTATGAAGTGCTGTGCATGTTCTTTTCATATCTTCCCTTTCTTTTCTTGCTGGAGGTGGGCCTGCTATTCTGAGGCCCTCCGCACTAGGCTGCTGAGGGAGTAAACCTAACCTACAGCACAAAGGGCCTCTTGACTCTACTTCTTCTTCAGACTAGTCCTTAGTTTTTGACAAGGACCATCTCTCAGCTGGAAGCTTTGGGGTTACCTGGAGGGTCACTCAGTGGACGAGAGGAATGTTGATAGGCCACGAGACAGGAGTGAACCAGAGGGAGTGAAAAAATATGGTGTGTGAGTTCACCCATTCTAAGACTAAATCTTCATTCACTACCTTTGTCTTCGCTTCCTGTGTTTCCTCCTTATACTGTCAGTGAAAAGAGTATGGGGGAGGATACTGTTTTGGGACAAGGTCTGAAGGCACAGGAACCATTACAGCTCTGGGAGCCTCTCTGTATTCTTTGACTTGGGAACCCATTGATTCTCTTTCCTGGACCCCAGGAAAACGCACCAGTTTCTCCTCGAGCCATGAACAGAGCCAGTTCCGGATGTCTGATTTGTCCTGGAAGGATTTTACCAATGCCTTATCCTTGGCCAACATGGTCCTGGGGATCTTCTCTATCTTCTGTAGCTTCAGCAGGTAGGTCTGGGGCCTAGCATGCTCTTAGTCAAAAGCTAGAACTTAATGGCAAGAGGCAGGGACAGGGGAAATCTAGAGAGCTATACACCATGCCTGTCACAAAAATCAACTGGAAGAAAGGCAAGGAAAAGTGCAGCGATTTGCAAGTTAGGGGTCAATATCCTGGTTTCAATTGTGACACCAGCCTGATACGTGACATCTGTAAAATGAGGAGTTTGCATTATGATCTGTATAGTTCCTTCAGCAATGGCAGCCTAGAATGGTTTTTATGAGAAGAATCACAAGGGTCTACCTACTGTTGTTATTTTCATTCTGAAATTAGAACACTGGCCTGGTAGAATATTTAAAAGTAGCTCTCTTCTGGAAAGTTTGAAACTATAAGCAGTTGTATTTCTATACATTAATCATATTTTAATGCCTTTGAAGACAAATTCTTCAGAATTCAGATAACATCTGCTTACTGTACTTGATTCTCTACCTCTATCAGCAAATGATTTCTTTATGGATTTGCTCTTCATTTATAACAAAAGGATCTTGATAATAGCTTAGTTCCTTTTTAGCTTGAAATTTGCACGATTCTCTAAGTTTGGATTTTTGGAATCTTAGTGGAGTAGAAAGGGAACATATCTGCAGCAGCAAAATCTCTGTTTTCTGAGTTCAACCAAATCTTTTGGGAGTGTCATTGTTATTCCACAATGGTAGGCTTAATATTTTATCCAACCTCCATCCCTTTAATACTTAGGTGTGGGACTAAACAAGTGCAAGGCTGAGTCAGGCACTCTGCTTCTGTTGCACCTGAATTGAATTGGTATTTAGAGTGACAACTTTGGCATGACTTCCAAGAGAAGATTTACTTGGGACTGTGGTGACTGCTTTTAGAGAGACACGTGCTGGAAAAAGGAAAGAATCCAAGAATGTGGGGTCTGACCGTATCCAAAACTTGGAGAACTGCAAGGAAAAATAGATGAGTCTGCTATCATAGTTGGAGATTTTAACACCTCTCTCAATAATCAGTGGATCCTACAGGCAGAAAATCAGCAAGCAAGAACATCAAATTGTGCAGTCCCATCAATCTGCTAGATATAGTTGACATCTATAGATGAACTCATCTAATAGTAGCAGATTATTTATTTTTTTTCAAGTTCTCTTGGGACACCCATTAAGAACAAGCCACATTCTAGGCTATAAAACACACATATTAACAATTTTTTTCTAATTCTGTAAAAAACTGAAATATTCATTTATTATATTTAAATAGTTCTGTAAACAAAGTAAGCCAAAAATCCTAAAAACTTTAGTATATATTTTTAAACATCAAAAGCCAATAAATGTAGAAGTTGAAGGGGAAGAAAAAAATGTTGATAGCAAAGTATCTGAACTTTCCTTTTCCCAAGTATTTAACATTTCACATATACCACTGTTTTCAGTGTAACAAATTTAAAAGAATAAAAATCATAACAAAGTATAACCTCAGATCACATGGAATTAAACTAGGAATCAATAACAAAAATAATTGCTAGATAATCTTGAAATATTTGGAGGTTTTACAACATGGTATGTGGATAAAAAACTTAAGTGCAATTTAAAATATTTTGAACAAAAATAATGTAAAATTACTAATATTTGTGAAGTGAGGGGAAAGCCACGCGTGTAAGAAATGGAGAACATTGAGCTAGGAATGTGACTTAGTGGTAGAATGCTTGCTGCTATAGCATGCATGAAGCCCTGGGTTCAATTTCTCAGTACCATAAACAAAAAAAGCAGGCTCTGTGGCTCAAGTAGTAGAGCTCTAGCCTTGAGCAAAAGAAGCTCAGGGACAGTGTCCAGGCCTTAAGTTCAAGCCTCAGGACTGGCAAAAAAGAAAAAAAGAAGAAATGGAGAACATTGAATATATATATATATATATATATATATATATATATATCATCACACATGGCTGAAAAATGCAGTTATTTTATCATAGTGGGACCATAGAATGTACTCATACAAACCAAGAAGCCATGAACATAACCTGATGATATAATCTTATATATCTTATTTGTAGTTTACACTGAAGCATGATTATGTGGCATGACTGTATTAAAAGAGAAGGAATGTATTTTAAATCAGTGATCTAAGCTTCTATCTCAAGAAACTAGAAAGATAAAGCAAATTAAATTCAAAATAAGCAAGAGCAAATAAAAATTAGATTTAGAGCATCAATTTAAAAAGTCAAAACTCAGGATATTAAGAAAAATCAGTGAAATAAAAACCTGGTTCTTTGAAATGATTAGTAAGATTGATATACCTCTGGCTAGGCTAAGCAAGAAAAGAAGACACTAAATATTAATATAGGAAATGAGGACAAGCCAGGCACCGGTGGCTCATGCCTGTAATCTTAGCTACTCAGGAGGCTGAAATCTGAGGATCATGGTTAAAAGCCAGCCTGGGCAGGAAAGTCTGTGAAACTCTTATCTCTAATAAACCACCAGAAAATTGGAAGTGGTGCTGTGGCTCAAGTGGTAGAGCACTAGCCTCGAGCTAAAGAGCTGAGGGACAGTGCCCAGGCCTAGAGTTCAAGGAAGGAAAGAAGGAAGGAAGAAAAAAAGAAAGAAAGAAGAAGAAACGAGGGCCAGACACTCCACAGGCTCATGCTTATAATTCTAGCTATTCAGGAGGCTGAGATCTGGGCAGAAAAACCTGTGACTCTTATCTCTAGTTAACCAGCTAAAAGCTGAAAGTGGAGGTAAGGCTCAAGTGATAGTGTACCAACCTTGAGTTAAGAAGCCAAGTGAGAGTGGTAAGCCCTGATTTCAAACTGCAGTACTGTCACACACATGCACACATAAAATCACAAAAATTAATAAGCTACCGTAACTCACACAGAGAGAGACATTATCTGAACAGGGTCTTATCTATCTAGGAAATAATTTAGGCATTATTCATAAATTGCCATATTTAAACTCTTTTGTACAACTTCTTAAAGATGTAGCTCAGTGGTGAAGTGCTTGCCTAGCAAGTTCAACATCCTGGATTCAATCCCCAGTACCAAAAAAAAAAAAATTTAAAAAATAATTTAGGAGAAGTGGCTCAAGTAGTAGAATACTAGCCTTGTGTATGAAGAGGCTCAGGGATAGAGCCCAGCGCTGAGTTCAAGCCCCATGATTGACAAAAAACAAAAATTAGATTAGAGTTCATTATGTTAAACCAGATTCATGGGGCTGGGAAGGTGGCTCAATGGTAGAGCGCTTGTCTTGCATGCATGAAGCCCTGGGTTCCATTCCTCAACACCACATAAGCAAAAAGAAAAAAAGCCGGAAGTGGCCCTGTGGCTCAAGTCGTAGAGTGCTAGCCTTGAGCTGAAGAGCTGAGGGACAGTGCCCAGGCCCAGAGTTCAGGCCCACGACCAGACCCCCCACCCAAAAAAAAACAGATTCAGAAATATAAATATGTTGGTTCCTCTCATATATGAAAATTAGATGTAAAAATTAAGACATGAAAGCAGAAGGGAAGCTATTTGGGAAGAAGAGGGACCCTCTGGAAGGGGAAGGGAGATAATAGAAGGTAAAGGAGATAAATATGGTCAAATTATATGATATGCATGCATGAAGCCATGGAACTACTATTTGGTACAATTAACAAATGCTAATGAAAAGAAGGAAAGGAAAGAAGAAATAGTTATTATTATTATTATTGCCGGTTGTGGGGCCTGTATTCTGGGCCTGGGTGCTGTTCCTCAGCTATTCAGCTCAAGGCTAGTGCTCTACCACTTGAGCCACAGCGCCACTTGCAGCTTTTTCTGCATATGTGGTGCAGGGCCTCATGCATGCAAGGCAAGCACTCTACCACTGAGCCACCTTCCCAGCCCAGGAAAGAAGAAATTATTTAGCCAACATATTTGTAATCCCAACACTGGAGAGGTTGAGACAAGATGTTTATGAGATCAAGGCCAACCTGGTCTACATAGTGCGATCTTGTCTCAAAACAAGAAAAGAAAAAAAATCATTGACATAATCCCATCATTTTACAAATGGAAGAATAGAGACCCAAAGAAGTAGTTAGTGATTCACCTGAGAATTCACAGTGAAGATGTAATAGACAGACTAGGACCTAGGAAGGGTCCCTGAGCCATCAAATATGTCTAGAATTTGGAGTTGAAAGAGGCCATAGTGATCACCCATGAGGATCCAGGGGTTGAGAGTTTGGCAAAGATGGAGGCATGTGTGAGGGTGGGAGGGATGAGAAGTATATATCAGAAAGGATGTGGGCGTATGTAATGACCTTGGGTGTGCATATGTTGGTAGGTGTGGGAAGTGTTGCATAAGAGCATACCTTGTGGAGTGGCTGTCCAGTGGGGACTATGAAAAACTACCCCATTCTGACCTGCTGGCTTCACTTCAGGAAATACCACTGTGCTTCCTGGATGCTTCTGATCAGCTTCCTGTTGGATATGGCGATAGGGACGATGGCCAGACAACTCAGCATCTCCTGCAGGTTGGGTGAGTTCAGTCCTGAGGACCCGAGTTCCTGTCCCCAGGAGTGCCTATCCCTGTCAACACCTATTCTCTAAAGTCCAGCAGGCTTCCATCTGTTACTCCCTCCCATTCCTGTAAGAATAGCAAGAATAGTCCTGGAGGAGGAGCTAGGGAGCCCCCCAGTTTAGCTTCAGCCCCTCTGCTGGCTCAAACTTACCCATTCTTGGCCAGTCCTGTCATGGTGCTCCATGTCCTTATCTGCTCTGCTTCCCTATTCTGTGATGAGTGAGGTATTAGAAAGGTGAGGGAGAAGAGAGAAGACAAAGGGTCAACGAGGAAAGGGAAAACTATCTCTTGTTAAGCAAGTGGTTTAAAATCTTCCCTGTCAGGTCTTGTTTGAAAGAAAAAAATTCTGGTGTGCATCAGATTGTAGCACAATCCTTGCATAGTAAGTGACAACAGCCCAATTACCTGGAGAGGGAAAGACTTACCAGGCTACAGGGGTTCAGAAGGAGAGCTAGGAGGACATCTCAGATTTTGAGCTACAGACCACCTAGGGGGAACAGCTGTTATGCTTCAAAACCTCAAGACCCTACTGTCACAGCTTCAGAGGGAAGCTAAGATCTGAGTGTGAATTTTGACACTGGGTCTCTGGAACAGGAGCGGAACTGAATGACTTTGCTGTCTTCACCTCTTTCGGTTTGGCCTCAGCTCTGCTCCTTGGCGTGGAGGGGCCTCTCAATGGGTTCCTGGCCATCATCTATGTGTTAACCACTTCTTTCCGCCTGTGTTTTTATTCATCTGGTAAGTGGAACCTTGGTTGCCTTAGGACTTCAAGTAGGGGACCATAGAGAGGGAAGAGCTGCTGGAAAGTGGGAGGAAATCCTTCCCTCTTCCTTCCCTCTTGCAAGCCCCATGGCCACTGTAGGTTATGGGCTGTGTTGACAGAGCCCTAGTCTGGGAGGTAGGAGTCCTCATTTCTTAGAGTGGCTGCACTTTGTTCTCTGTGTGATCCTTGGATGGAGCATATGGCTTCATGTATTCTATAAATGGAGGTTGTTCTCCAGTTCCTCAAATAGAGAAACTGTGCCATGGGGAGGGCAGTGGTCTTCATAAGGTTACAAAGTAAGGAAATACAGATAGACACTGCACTGAACTTAGACTAGACTTCAAAGACCCTTTCAGCAAAGACTGGGCTGGGACATATCTCTGTTTACACTGCTGCCTACTTTCCCTTGGAAGTCCAACATAAAACCCACATGTTTGTGAATAGCTAAATGATTTACTGTCTGGTACTGCTCCTGGGCTAAGGAAACTTGATAGGCCAGGTAGGAGAAGACTTAAGGTGGGAATGGGCTGGTGGTGTTTATGTGCCAGTAAGCAGGGAACCAGCAGATCCCCATGGTTCTTTCCCCTGCAGGAGGGATTCCCTTCTCATACAGGGGTCTACCGTGCCCCTATGCTTCCTGTGTTTTGGCTTCCACCTCCCTTCTGACCAAAGGCAACACATTTATTCTATGCTGCATGGCCTCACTCATGATTCTGTTCATGATCGACCAGAGCTACTATCCACGTGATGAAATCTTGGAATCTGAGAACTGGAAAAAAATGGTCTATATTGGAGGTAAGTGAAAATACCACTCTCTAATGTCACCGATGGCCAATTGATTATCAGTGCTATTCATAGTCATCCTATACCTGGCCCCAGCATCCCCTTATCCACTTTACCTTGGGCTTTATTTTTTAACCACAGTATTTATCATCACCTGACATAGAATATGTTTACTAGTTTGATTTGTTGTCTATAAACACTAGACTTTATCCTCATTTGAGGACTTTCCTTAGAGGACTCTCTGAATAATGCCTGTTACATAGTAGATACTCCAAACATGTTTGTTGAATGTTAATGAATTCAATGGATATTTATGGAGCACCTACCCCATGCCTAAGTGCTGGAAGCAACTTGGTAAACTAGACATGATTCCAGCTTAGAATCTATAGTCAAACAGGGAGAAAGTCACCAAACAAATAATGGCAGAATTAACTGGGAATATGTTTTTGATGTGCTGGATTAGTGCAGGATGTTCTGAGAGGTATTCAAGGATGACCTAATTTATACTAGGGTGGCCTGAAAGAAGGGAAAAGGATTCTTAAGAAAGTGATTCTTAAGTGAGACCCACAAGATGAATGGCTAGATAAGTAGAGTGGACAGTTCAAGCAGAGGACACAATATTTTGTGACAGTTGGGAAGCTGGAAGGTGCTGGAAGCATTAGTGGAACAGTGTGGCTGGAGCTTGCTGAGAGAGCCAGTGATAAAAACTGAGACCAATGAAGTAGGCAGACTGGGTGGGACCTAAGCAGGAAGTGACACAATCAGAGTGACAAGTTTCCAGGATTACTTTGATTATAACATTGAGTAGTAGAATACCAAGATTGGAAGTTCAAAATAGAAGTGGTAGTGTGATGGAGATAAAGAGAAATAATTAAAGGGTTTGAAATATACTTGCTTTTGTGGAAGGAAAGTTCAAGTTCAAGTAACAGAGTGCTGGTGCATGCCCCAAGATTCCTTCACATTGAGGGCCTGACAGATGTCTCCCTAGAGTTCACCCAATTTGTGTTCCAAGATATATGATTGTTTTTTTTTCCTTTTAAATGTGGGTATATTAAGTTCTTCCATTATTCTCTTGTGAGCTCAGTCTAGTATATAGGATCCATGGTTCTTGTTTACAGTCATACCTTGTGATAGCATCACCAACATTGCTACCTGAGTTCTGGGTGCTGGGTTCTCCTATGTCCTGATGGCAAAGACAATTGGTGCTAAGAAAAATCTGGGACTAAGCAGATCTGAGTTCCTGTTCTAACTTCAGCATGGACTAGTTGTATATAATTAGGCTATTACCATTTTATCTTTAAAAAATGAAGCCAAAAATCCCTACCTTGCAGATCACTGGAATTAAGAAAAATAATGTTCTGGTCACTTATTGAATACATGGTGGTTCCCCCCATGCCTCTGGCACATATGTATACTAAATGGTAATTCCTAGCTCCCAATTGTCTTCCACCTCACCTTTTCCCATCTCATATGTGACAGGATTCCCCACAGTGTTCTCTATTGATCTCCACTTCTCAAAATAACCCATACAATTGGTCTTAACCTCACAGATTTTGACACAGTTAATATCAGAAGCCTACTTAGACAATTTCAAAATAGCTGTTGTTGATAGTCCCTCAGCCTACAGCACAGCCCCATAGTCCTTTTTTCTTTTTGGTTGTGGGGCTTGATTTCTGAGCCTGGATGCTGTCCCTCAGCTCTTTAGCTCAAGGTACACGCTCTGCCACTTGACCACAGTGCCACTTCCAGTTTTCTGGTGGTTTATTAGAGATAAGAGTCTCACGGACTTTCCTGCCTTGGCTGGCTTTGAACCACAATCCTCAGATCTCAGCTTCCTGAGTAGCTCGGATTACAGGTGTAAGCCACCAGCACCCATCTCCCATTGTCCTTTTAGATGAGGTCCCTCCTGTCTCAAAGAGTTCCTGAGAGTCTAGTTTCATATAGCATCATCCCATGCTGATTTTGCTTTTTGTGTCCTTTTGCTCTAATAGTAGGACAACATACTGACTCCTGGGTTCTCCTGGCAAGGCACAGACCCTGGGGACAGTCTTGGGGACTACTAATACAATTCCAATCTCAGATTCATCAACAAAAAGGTCTTTACATTAGTGTCCTGTCTACTTCACACTAGATATTCTGTTAGGTATTATATGTATGTAAATTATTTCACTTATACTTCATAATCTGAGTTAGATTAAAACCATATTTCCCAAATGATGAAACAGAGGGGAAATAGCTGTCATAAATTTCTAATCCAAAGCCATATCTGCCTGATTTTGAAAACTAAACACACTGTCTCAGAACTCAAAAAGAATTAGAAGAGTGTCAGCAATGGCACTTCCATGGAAAGAACCACCATATGTTCAGTAAGAGATCGAAACATGATCTGACAAAAGACCACTGGGTGAGGAGCAGCAAAAGAAGTATATTGGAATTTTGGAATAATGCATGTGCAGAATAGCCATTGATCTGTTAAGGCAGAGACAGTATTTTAAACCAGAATTGTCTTAGAAACCAGGACAGTTTCCAGGTGCCATTTTTCAGGAGTTCTCTCCCAGCTGGAATCAACAGTTGTACTCTCGTCTTCCAGCACTGAATTGTGATAATTCATGCAGGGTGTTATCTGCCAAGAAAGTTCATCAGAAACTCAGTGCTGGAGCCTTTAATTAGTAGCCAGTTATGTAGACTTCCACTGTACCCAAACTTCGGATGCCCAGAAGTAAAGCAGGTGTTCTGCATAAGCCACATATTTGCATAGTGTGAACACAGTGAGCCACACTGATCAGTTAGAGAAAGCTTTCTAGTGATATAGGAACTATCAGCCAAGAGCCAGCTATAAGCAGGCCTTTGTAAGGACAGGAGTCTCAGGATCCTGTGTTAATTCTTTCTGCATGCATATAACATTTTATTGGCCATTATCCCATATTCAACTCAGAAAAAAGTTTTTTCTTTCCTAACAAAGGATCTGAGCAACTCAGCTGTATTCTTGGCCAGGGATTGCTTCTGATCTGAAATTCTAATCAGAATGGAACCTGAGATTGCATTACTTGTGTATTTCCCAATTAAACTGAACTTGAAGATAGGCTCCTATCTCTTTTTTTCTTGCTATGTCTTAGGTACTGTGGGTACCACTGAAGGATGAGAGGGTGGGCTGGGATGCATATAATGCAGCTTTATAACATAAGAACTGAGTGCCTGTGTTTTTGCTTCTTCTAGGTATCATCATGCTGTTTTTCTTCCCATTCTCTCTCACTGCTTTTTACTGCCTGGTGTGGTCGCTCTCCTACATCTTCTTCCCTGATTCCCTGTGGGGAAAGGCACCCTGTTCTGGGCTCTAGCAGCGAGGAAGCCCCAGCTCCAACTCCTGCTGGCCTCTGTGGGGACTGCACCAGCATGTTGGGCCAAGCCTTGCCTGTCCTCACTAAAACTTTCCGTGTGCCTTTGTGGTCATATTCTAGGTACATGCTATCTCTGTTGTTTTGAACCACTGCTACTCACATAGGCACTGCAGATTGTATTACTGCTGCTATTGCCTCTTCCTTCTTCCTTTCTCCTCTATCTACTACCTCCTCCTCTTCCTTCTTCACTTCTCCTCCTCTTTCTCCTCCTCCTCCTCCTTTTACCAGGGGTTGAAATCAAGACCTTTCACTCTCACTACTACTTGATCCATGTCCCAGTCCAATAATTTAGTGGTTAATTGGACATGGAATCATACAAGCTTTTCTGCCTGGAGTGGCTTTGAACCATGATCCTCCAGCTCTCAGCCTCCTGAGTAACTAAAGATTATAGATGTGAACCACCAATGCCTGACTATCTTTATCCAGAATTCCAACTTCTTTTCGGGCAATATACTATGTGGTATGTAGAACACATTGATTTTTTCCAAGCTAAGTTTGGGCTGGGATTAAAATCTAACTCTGTCACTAGCTGGGTGACCTTGTACACTAAGGTTCCTCCCTTGTAAAGGAGAGGAATCTTCCCAAATTGGTGTAGCCTCTGCCTTAGCCTTGCCAGGTTGGAATTAACTCTGTTTGCGTGTGTGTGTGTATGTATGTGTGTAGGGTGGGGGCTCACTCATTTTTTTTGTAGTCATTTGAAGTCAGGACCTTGCACTTATTTGCTAGTCAGATTACTTAGTACATGTATGTGCTTGTGTGCGCGGCTGCACACGCACACATGCGCGCGCGCGCGCGCACACACACACACACACACACACAAGCCCTTTTGGATTTAATTATTTTTCAGATAGTCTTTCTGTCCAGAGTCTGCCTCTGATTGCAATCCTCCTACTTTTGTCTCTCACATAGCTGTTTCCTGGGCTGGCCATGAATCACCATCCTCCTATCTCTACCTCCCCAGTAGCTGAAGTTGCAGGGGTGAGCCCCACACCTGGCCCCTCACTAGCAGTTATTATAGCTGCAGCTTCTGGCTCTGAGAGCAGAGCTTGCCCATTTGGAATGCTTGTAGAACGTTAAAAATGTTTGTATTTTAATGGGGGAAAGCCTTTTGCTTCGTTTAGCAATGAGATATTGACAGCAGGAAGGTATTACTTGCTTTTGGGGGAGCATGGTCTCATGACCTGTTTCTTTTCTAAGCTTTCAAATACTAAACTCTAGCTACTGAAATACCACTTCATTTCTTCAAATTCAAATCAGATGGGAATATAATATTGTCTGCTAAAGTTGTACCTCACATAGAATTTTGACCTCTAGAAGCAATGGTCCTGCACCTTCATATGGGAAAGGCTCACTGGCTAATTCTGCTTCTTCCCAGAGGTGGCACCAGAGCTCCTTCTACAAGTCTGGTTTTCCTTAAGTTCTTAGAACAATGTATATGACAATTATGCATCAAATCTAAAATTAGATTAATTTAAAAATATTTGGTGCTGGTACTGGGACTTGAACTCAGGGCTCATAGCTCTCATTTGGCTCCAGGTTGGTACTTTGACTCTTGAGCTACAACTCCACTTTTGGCTTTTAGTGATTAAACAGAGATAAGAATGTCATGTATTTTTCTGTCCCTGCTAGCTTCAAACTGCAGTCCTCAAATCTGTGTAGCTAGGATTACAGGGATGAGGCACCAGTGCCTGACTTAAAACTAGTTTTCTTTTCAACGTACCAGTCTAAAGAAAGCCACATCATTGTGATATGGCTCTAAAGGTACAGACAGTATCCTTTTCCAGGATTCTGTACTTATGTCTCTGTTACAACCTTCATGTTATCATATTTGACAAATATATCTGTGTCCTGTGAAATTTTCATCTCCTTCAGTTTACTGTTAGGTATTTCTGCTACCTGCTGCAGTTCTTAAAACTCAAAATCTTTTCTTTGCAGATGACTCATGGCTTCTAGTAAAGAATTCTATAATATACAAGGTTGCTATAATAATAACATACAAGGATTAGCCTGCCCATGTAATTGTAACCCCTCTGTACTACTGTACTACTGTTCACAAATAAAATTAAATTTAAAAAAATAAAAACATGAGTCAGGTTCTGGTTCATGCCTCTAAAAAATAGTAACATACAAGGTTACTATATGGTAGTATTGTAGCTTACACATATTCATGGCACCATGTTCCTTGGTGCTATATTAAGAACTCCAACCTAAGAATTGTGTTCACGTAAAGTCTTAGGGCCAGAAGCTAGCCCCATACTTGGGTACAAGAGGAGCTAGAGGGGAAAATCTGTTACTCTCAACCAATCTAATTTAGCTCAAAAGCCTAATGCTTGGGATTAGACAATAATGTCTTATTCTTTTTTTTCTTTTCTTTTTGTCAGTTGCAGGGCCTGAGCACTGTCCCTGAGCTCTTCAGCTCAAGGTGAGTGCTCTACCTCTTGAACCACAGTGCCACTTCTGGTTTTCTGGTAATTGGAGATAAGAGTCTTATAGACTTTCCTACCCAGGCTGGCTTTGAACTGTGATCCTCAGATTTCAGCCTCCTGAGTAGCTAGGTGTGAGCCACCAGTGCTGCCTGACTAATGTCCTATTCTTGAATTATCAGGTTTGGCCCCAAATAACGTTTAGATTTTTCTATGTTCAAAATTAAAAGATGTAGTTCCTGAAAGAATTTCTATGAGCAGAATCAAAATCAATATATAGGCCCCTATAAGGACTGCTTTGAAAGTAAATTGTGGAGTTTTGTAATGTTACATGTCAACATTCAGAAGACCTACATAATTCAGTGATCCAATATTTTCTAAATGGACAATGCCTGGTATCTCCAAATGATACATGAGTGGAAGAGCCGTTCATATGGCAAGACTCAAAACCTCAAAACCTCAAAGTATAAAAAGCTCGTTAATAAGGTATCAGATTCTATATTGCAGTTAACCTTTAAGAAACCACCCCCAAACTGGGCACTAGTGGCTCACGCCTGTAATCCGAGCTACTCAGGAGGTTGAGATCTGAGGATTCCAGTTCAAGGCAACCCAGACAGGAACATCCCTGAGACTCTTATCTCTAATAAACCACTCAGAAAACTGGAAGTAGCGCTGTAGCTCAAGTGGTAGAGCACTAGCCTTGAGCTGAAGAGCTGAGGGACAGCGCCCAGGCCCAGAGTTCAAGACCCATGACCAACAAAAAAAAAAAAAAGAAGAAGAAGAAGAAAAAAGAGAAAGAAACCACCCCTTGCTGAGTTTGGGTGTGGAATCAATAGGCTATCTATAATGATCTACAAAGCTTTGAACTGGTGGTTCTCCTGCCTCAGTCTCCTGAATACTTTGATTACAGGTAAACCCTACCATGCCTGTGAAAAGTAAGTTTGTTAAGTTTTACAATCAACTTAATGCAGTTTGAAAATTTTTGCCCTACTAGGGTGCTTTTACATGATAAGAATATGTCCAAGGTTTAGGCATACAAACACAAACAGACCCTAAGGGTCAGAATCTTTCCAAACATGCTTATACATTACTTAGTCTGAAATGATGATTTCCCTGTAAAACAATCTGAAAAGTGGTTGGGGAGGTACATATGCTATTTATCACATAATTTATTTCTGAATTATGATCCTAAGAGGAAGAAAACAAGTGGGGAAAGAGGCTCTCTGAGCCCCAGTAACTCAGGTCATTTTGCTCCCAAACAGAGCTCTATCTAGTATACTACAATAATAGCATTTTCTTATGTTTAAAAGGTAAGCTGCTCCCTAACCCTCTACTCATCCAAAAAAAAAAAATTAAATTAAAAAAAAAAAACAACTCAAACTTGGTGGCCACTATAGGATCTGGTTACCACTTACGGGGATCATCGTGCCGGTGGCTCACGCCTGTAATCCTAGCTACTCAGGAGGCTGAGATCTGAGGACCGCAGTTCAAAGCCAGCCAAGGCAGGAAAGTCCGTGAGACTCCTCAATAAACCACTCAGAAAAATGAAAGTGGTGCGGTGGCTCAAGAGGTAGAGCGCTAGCCTTGAGCTGAAGAGCTGAGGGACAGCGCCCAGGCCCAGAGTTCAAGCCCCATGACTGCCATAAAAGTAAAAATAAATCTATATAGAGATTATTCTTAGCTGCAACTCAGGTACTCAAAAGCATCTTCACTGTAGGTTAAAATTCTAACACTTCAGTTTACTCCTAAAAAAAAGCCACAGCAGTTAGAATTATTCTCAATGACTTCAGAGGTAGCAAGGACACAGAGATGGGACAGTCAGAGTTCTCAGCCACACAGTAGGGAACATACAGGCATTTTCAGCTCTAAGAGGTGGCAGTGTTTGGCTTATATGCCTGTGATCTGCCTTGTTTCCATCTCCCCCCACTCCCCAATAAAATATCCAGAGAGAACAATTTCCTTTTGTTTAGCACTAAAATCACTCTAGCATTAACATGTCGCAATGAACCCTAGTCCTGAAGCAAATGACTGGGGCAGAAAGAACTTTATACTTTGATCCCTAAAAATGGTGGTTGAATGGTGAGTGGTTTCTAAGGGATAAGTCTGATAGAGAAGCCCCAAAGATGCAAAAAAATGGTTTGCACTGTTTACTTCCATCAAGAGAAGGCTTCCAGCTCCTAGCCCTAGTGACTGAAATGGAAGGAAAGAATCACATATTTCTACCTGTGTGATGGAAGAATTATGGTCAGTTGGGTATATAGAACTTTAGTCAACAGGAATGAACATTGGAAAGTCATCTCCTCCTCTCTACCCTGCTTAGTGACCAGGGTCTTTTTGCTTGCTGAGTGTTTTTTTTGGTCAGTTGTGTGGCTTGAACTCTGGGCCTGGGCACTGTCCCTCAGCTCTTCAGCTCAAGGCTAGCGCTCTACCACTTGAGCCACAGTGCCACTTCCAGTTTTCTGAGTGGTTTATTGGAGATAAGAGTCTTGTGGACTTTTTTGCCCAGGTTAGCTTTGA